ATGAATTTTGATGGACAGCTGGTCATCTTATGAAGATTAAATGAGGTAAATGTATGCTGTAAAAGTCTAGAAACGTCAATACGCCAATGCTGCTTTTCCCTAAGGGTTTAAAGGAGAAACCCTAATCACATAGTTTCCTACTACACGAGCAGCAAATAGGAATCAGTAGTGGTTATTTGGGGCCTGTGGCACTCCACGCTGGGTCTCATCCTCTCCTGTCCTCACACTCACCAGAACTGGCCTAGTTTCCAGCCCTTTCTCAGTACATGTTACTAGATAGGAAGGATGACTGCCCCAAGAGAACATGAGCTCACAGGCCAAAGTACCCACATACCTGAGGAACACAAATTCCTTAAAAGAGGGAAAGTGATGGAAAAACATACACCACCTGAAGCAGAACTGAGAATTTTAAATACAAGATAAATACTCTTAAGTAATTCAGGGAAGATACCTGCAATATGAAACACAGAATAATATAAATTTAGGAACCAAGTGGAAATTTTAGGTATTAAAAATATAGCAACTGAAATAAAGAACAAAATAGGTGAGACAGTAGGATAGACATAGCTCAGAAATGAGTAAGTTGAAAGAACAGCTTAAGGAGCTCCCCAGGGAACAGCCAGAAATGTATAAAGAGAAAATATAAAATAAAGGCTATGAGACACACAGGACAGAAATAAAAATGCCTGCATCCAGATAACAGGAGCTCTAGGAGAGAAAAATAAAAATGGAGACAAATATTTGAAGAAATAATTACGATAATTTCCAAGAACCCCCAAAAAAGTAAAAATCCTAATGGAAAAAGATTATAGAGTGTGAAATAGAATAAAAACACAAATCTAGACACATAGTAAAACTTAAGAAAGTCAAAGTAAACTCCAAAGATCAAATTATCTACAAAGGAATACATCAAATGTCTTTGTAGTAACCCTTGGATGGAAGAAGACTGTAGAGTAAAATACGGATGGGAAATAAATTAATACCCAAATTGATAGCCAAATTGGCAATCAATGAATACTTTATTAAAAAAAAAACAAAACTTCAGGCGCACAAGGCTTCACAAAGTTTGTCACAGAAAGTCTCACTTTGAAAACAGTTTTGGAAGAAGGATTAAAAATAAGAAAAGAGAGACGCCTGGGTGGTTCAGTCAGTTAAGCGTCTGCCTTCAGCTCAGGTCATGTTCCCAGGGTCCTGGGATCGAGTCCCACGTTCCCCGAGCCTGCTTCTCCCTCTCCTTTTTCCTCCCTCTCCCTCTGCCTGCCACTCCCCCTGCTTGTGCTCTCTCATTCTCTCTCAAATAAATAAATAAAATCTTTAATAAAAAATAATAAAAATCCTGGAGATGTTATAAGAGAAAAGGAAGAAAAGGGTCACCAAATATTTTGGTAATTATTATTTCTTATTATTGTTGCATTAAGAGGCTAGGTCAAATAAAATAAAGAGAACATCCATTGGACAATATCAACATGGATGGAGCGGGCAAGGATGGGAGAAGCCCAAATGGACATGAGAGCATGCTAAAGTACTTGTCTTATTAGAAAGACAATGTTGTCAATTGACTGCCTCTCAGCTTCAAATTTACCCTTCAATATATGCTCTGCCATATGGACAGAATTCCTTTAAGCATCTCTCCTTTGCAGTGAGCACAACATTAAGCTTTCTCAGTGGAAGGCTCTGGAACGACGCTAGAGGAAGGGGCTCTCTTGCTGTTACCAGCTCCTATATAATGGGTTGGCAGTATAGAAGTGAGGACACCCAAAAGAGCTCTGCCACAGTCAGCCACCCAGAACATGCAGTCTCTTGGTGACCTTGCAGCCTTGGCTTGGTCTTCCAATTACCTTCCTGCACTAATGGGGAAACCAGTGCCCCAACCTGTGGCTCTTGTTCTGTGCTACTGGCCTGTGGCTTGGAGGATTCCCAGCAAGCCTCTGCTTCCCTTGCTCACCCATGTTACTGCTTGCTGATCATCTGTGGAAAGTATGCATTCCAAAGGGTTCATTTCTGTTTGCCCAGAGATTGCAGACCAGCTCCATCCTGGGAAAACCAGCAAAATTTTTTGCTACCCAGTGAGCTGAACTATACCTTCTCCAGTATGGTCTGAACCGCAGCCTTGGAGAGAGACCATCCTTCCAAACAAGTTTGTCCTTGTTTAGGTATGCTCTCTTAGTTCTAGGGTACCGTATAGATTTTCCTTATATCTTTTTTTTAAAGATTTTATTTATTTATTCATGAGAGACAGAGAGAGAGAGGCAGAGGGAGAAGCAGGCTCCCCACCGAGCAGGGAGCCTGATGCAGGACTCGATCCCAGGACTCTGGGATCATGACCTGAGCCGAAGGCAGACGCTTAACCATCTGAGCCACCCAGGCGCCCGATTTTCCTTTATCTTATAATGGCTTTGGGGCCATTTTAAGGCCTTTGGCTTTTACCCTGCATGAGATGGACACCATAGCTGGGTTCTGAGCAGAGGAGTGATACAATCTAACTTGCATTAAAAAAAAAAACACAACAACACTCTGATGGCTGTATGAATAAATTGTGGTAATGGGAGTCACAGGTTGGGGGCAGGAACCAAAGAAGGGACATAGGTGAGGAGGCAATACAGTAATTCAGAGGGAAGAGGATAGTGGGTTTGAAACAGGGAGAAGCAGAAGTGAAAAGTATTGAGCAGATATGGATCTATTTGGAGATAAAGCCATCAGGATTTGCTGATTGATTGGATATAAATGTGAGAGAGAGGAGTCAAGGACGACTCCAAGGTTTTTTGGCTTGACCAGGTAGAAAGCTGGAGGCACCATCAAGTTAGCTGAGGAAGATTAACAGGGGAGTTGATACCAGGAGGAAGATGAGAAATTCATGAGTTCCGTTTTGGACAAAACGAGATTGAGATTCCTATTAGGCACTGAAGTAAAGATGTCTAGTAGGCAACTGGATGTAAGAGTCTGTAGTTCAGGGGACAGGTTTGGGCTGGAATTATAAATTTGGCAATCACTGGTATATAGATGATACCTAAAGCCACAAGGCTGGATAAGATGACCAAGGAAGTGCGTGTGGATAAGGAAGAGGAACAAGGGCCGTAGCCTGAAGAGCTCTAACATTAAGAGGTCACGAAAAGGTCAGGACAGGAAACTGAGAAGGAACGACTGACTACTGGGTAGGAGGGAAAGCAAGATACCAAAATGTCATAGAAACTAAGTATATCAAGCAGGTGGTAGCGATCGATTGTGTCAAGCGCTGCTAAAAGGTCAAGTAGAGTAAGAGCTGAAAGTCAACCATGAGAATTAGCAAAATGAAGATTATTGGTTAACTTTGACAATAGCAGTTTTAGTTGAGTGATGGGTGCAGAAAGTCTGATTAGAGTGGGTTCAAGAGAGAACGAGAGAAAAGAAACTGGAAGAAAGATATATTGATAAAATATTCCAGGAGTTTTTCTAGAAACGGGGCACCAGTTGAAGGCAAAAGCGACACTCACGGAACTTGGAAGAGATCATACTGGAAACTGCAGTTTGCAGGATATGGCTGCATCCTGGAAAATCCTGTGGGCAGCCCTCATGTGCCCTGCAGAGATGGAGAAAGGTATGGCCTAGGGAGCGCTGCACCATGAACGCCGCGGAATACAGTCTCGCTCCGTGGCCCAAACTGGGAGTAGAAGCCACTTGCCGTCCTGAGTGTTGTTTTAGGGCCCCTGCCTGGAGGGACAAAGTCTCCCGCCTCAAGGGAAATGCCGCACTACTCCCGCGGGGCCACCCCTCCACGCTGCTCTCCCAGTCCCTCCCTTCGGGGGTCCGTCTCAGAACCGGAGAGGAGCCGCGAATCCTGTTGGGAAAGAAGGCAGAGAGCGCGTGCGCGACGCAGGAAGGCAGCCTTTGGAGCTCCACCGAGGAGGCAGGATTAGCCACGCGGGCTCCCGGGCTGCAAAGTGGGGTCCATTGCGGGGCAGTGCCTCTGGGATAGAACCGCCTGTTGCCAGCGCGGGCGCGCGCATCCGAATGCCTAGCCTTTGCTCGCCGCGCGTCCTAGCTTCACCCACGTGCCCGCACGCACGCGTGGTGAATGAGCCTCGCGTGCTTTCCCGCCAAGACTTGCCAATGGCATTTCCTAGCCCCAGCAAGGCGGAGGTGAGGCCTTCGCAGAGGGCAGGGCAGGTCTGGGCTAGACTGGGCTGGGCTGGGCTGGGCGGGCGCGGAAGGGAGCGATCGCTTCCGCTCAGGCAGCGCGCGTGCTCCCGACCAACCCGCTCAGACATCGGTTTCCTCAGTCGTCTACACCAAAGGCAGAGGGGAGGGAGGGAGGGAGGGAGGGCGGCAGTGCGGCCCCGGGCGAACTCTTACAGGTTTGCCTTTCCGTGGCCGCCCCGCCCACCTATTTGCCTCTGTGAGGACGGGTGCAGAGAGAAGCCACAGAAATATTTGGGTACTGACTGCTCTGTTGCGTACCACTGTTGTTTTTATAATAGGTTTTGCTTTGTGGCTTCTCCAGGCTTGGTGGGGCTCGGGCGCTGCCCTCGTACCCTTCAGAAGCACACAAAGCCAGCTGTGCACGTGGGCCGCTGATGCAGGGCCTCTGTCATAAAGCCTCACGCGCACATACTCGCCTGTCCAGTGATTAGCATAATAGCTAAGAACGGGCCTGAACTGTGACTGTCTGGCCCTACCACGTTCTAGTTATGTGGCCGGAGAAAGCTACAACAGTACTTTTAAGGAGGGCTTCTACATTCAGTGAACAAAAATGCAGGACATCCAGTTAAGTTTAAATTTCACTTAAAAAATTGATCATTTTTTTAAGCGTAAGTATGTCCCAAATATTGTTTACCTGAAATTCAGATTTAACTGAGAATCGAGTTCAAATTTAACTATTTTATTTGGCAGCCCTGGTTTAAGGCTTTATGGGAGACAATGCAGCAACAATCCTTAGAGCTGTTGCTGGCGTGTGTAAACACGCAACAATGTGTGTTTGTATAAAAAGGCCAAACTCCTCCCCTGCACCCTCTCCCACCCCCAACACAGTAGTGTCTAGTCATCTGATGTAATAGGTGAAATGGCTAGGACTCGGAAAGCCACTCTGTCATTCAAGGTCAGTCTTTAAGCCCTCTCCAACCCAGTGCACTGTAGTGACTCGGCTCCAGGATAACAAAGAAAGGAAACCAAAGTGGCAGAATGTAGGATTGTAAATGTAAGTCTATTTGATTCTGAAGTTTCTCTTTGCGCCTGTCCTCTGCTCCCTCAATGTCAGCATGCCCCCTCACTTCTCACACAATAATAGCACCCTGAGGGGCGCCTGGGTGGCTCAGTCGTTAAGCGTCTGCCTTTGGCTCAAGTCATGATCCCAGGGTCCTGGGATAGGGCCCTGCATCGAGCCCCGCATCGCATCGGGCTCCCTGCTCAGTGGGAAGCTCGCTTCTCCTTCTCCCACTCCCCCTGCTTGTGTTCCTTCTCTCGCTGTGTCTCTCTCTGTCGAATAAATTAATAAAATCTTCAAAAAAATAATAGCACCCTGAATTTATGTTGCACTTTTTCATTATAATACCTTTGAATTTCATTATTTCCCTTTATTTTTTAAAGGCTTTAGTATGGAAAAAGAAGAGCATTCCTTTCTGAGGCCAAGACTGGTTAAAGTGAAATGCCTCTCACTGCAAACCTGGTGGAATGGAGTGTTAGCCCAGGATTGAGACACACAAGTGTCAGGCATTTTCCATTTTCCCAGTCAGAGCTCCTAGTCTTAAATTACCAGAGGAAATTTTACAGAGTCTTTGAGATTGTGGGATTTAACTCTCATTTCTCTTCACATTAGCTTGGTGTAGCAGCTTTTTCTTTCTTTTCTGTATTTTCTCTGACATTTAAACATGTTTAATTATTTCATTAAAAAAAAAACACAAAAAAACTTCTCTCTAGGGGCCAGCCTTTTGTTCTTTCCATGCATGTCCTTGAGAATTGTACACAAGATTCTGAAGGGTTTAAACTTTACCTCTGGTGGAAATTGAAGTGAGGTAGTAACTGTTGCTAGATCAAGAAAATGCTTGGAATTGTTCAGCTAGCGATAGAGGAGTCCCCAAGGCAGTACTCAGAGCACTCTGGGGCCAGCTTGGGAGCTGTTTGCCCAGGTCCTCAGCCAGATAAATGCAAAAATTCAGAATAAGCATTTAGGAACTTTTATAGTAATTTGACAGAATAATCTTATGTCTGCGGAACTTAATGAAAAATCTGGAGTTAAAAAAAAAAAAATCTTCCCTAAGTCTCATCTGCCTGGCAACCTCCTCATGCTACTCCTGGGTTAAGTGGCAGCATTTCCTACTGGTGCCTTCTGGGGTGTCCCATGCAGTTTTGGGTGCTCCATTACAGCAATTACCAAATTTTAACAATTGAAGTTCCTTGAAGACAGTGCCGACTTTTGAACATAGGATACCCAGTCAATAGCAAAATACACGTTCTAAAGTAGAATCTCAACAAATTTTTGTTGATTGGTTTTGGAATTAGCGTTTTGTGAAACTAGACCAACCAGGCTCACTTTTGAGCTAATTAAATGCTGTTTCACCTTGAACACACTTAATATACATTCTGTGAGCTCCACTGGCTCTAGGAAGGTTGTGTAGCTCAGTAGTTCAAAGGATGCACTCTGCAGTCATGCTTCCTGGGTTGGAATCCTGGCTTTGTTAGTTACTAGTTGTACAACTGTAGGTATGCCAATTAACTTCTTTTGCAGAATGGGAATAAAACAAGCTACTACTTCAGAAGGTTGTTGGTATTAAATGAGATAATACACGGAAATTACTTACTGCATAAGTACATTTTCAAAAAATGTTAGTGCCTGAATTAATTCTCTGTCACTGCTGTTAACAAATTACCATAAACTTAGCTGCTTTGAACAACATAAATTTACTTTCTCATATTTCTGTAGGCCAGAAGTCCAGGTAGGCTTGACTAGTTTCTCTGCTCTGAGTTTCACAAAGCTAAAATCAAGCGGTTGGCTCTGGATTCATATTTAAATGCCCTGGAAAGAATCTGCTTCCAAGCTCATTCAGGTTTTTGATAAAATTCAGTTTCATGAGATTGTGGAACTGAGGTCTCTGTTTCCTTGCTAGCTTTCAGCTGGACGTTGTCCTTTGCTCCTAGAGGCCTTTCTCCAGTCCTTGCATGGGCCTCGACATTGCAGAACCAGCAATGGCACATCAAATCCTTCTTACCCTTAGAATCTCTCCGACTTCCCCTTTTGCCAGCTACCCTTCTGCTTCCTCTTGTGCCACCTCCTTCTGATTGCAACTGGAGAAAGTTTTCTGATTTAAAGGATTCATGGAATAAGATTCCATTTCCCTCCCCACCCATAATCCAAAACAATCTCCCCATTTCAGAATCCCTAACCTTAATTACACCTGCATAACTTTTTGCCATGTAATTTAATATATTTGTAGGTTCCAGGGATCAGGTCATAGACATCCTTATGAGGCCATTCTGCCTACCATAATGCCCTTCTCATATCTCTATTTGGAAGATAGATAGGATGAATTCAGATATATGTGTAATGCTTTACGTATAGTAGGCCCTCAGTATAGGCGGTTTCCCCTTAGCTCTGGAGAAACTTTTTTCACTCCAGAACTTTCACCTGAGTCCCTCTAGTCACAATTATCTGCCTTGTAAAGGGTTCCTCCTTGTGGGAAAACAAACAAACAAATGCCACTGATGTTCTAGGAAAGCTGCATGTCCTCTGAAGGTTCCTATCTCAATGTGTGAAGCAAACATCTCCTTCTTCGGGCCTTGGAGTCAGTTCCTGTTGTTATCTATCCTTATTATACACTGCTGTCCTTAACATTTGGTACAGCTGTAATTTGTTTGCAATTTAGAGACATTGCAGAAAAGTATATGGAATATTAGGGCAAAGTACTCATGTCCACACAACTCAGAATTTCATGTTTGAAACTCATTGTATAATTAGCTTTTGTGTAGTTACCCACTGTCTGGAGGCTTTCACTTAGCATAGTATTTTCAAGGTTCATTCACAGTGTAGCAGGTACCAGTACTTCATTCCTTTGTATGGCCGAATAACATTCCAGTCTATATGTATAAAATTTTGTGTAACCATCAGTTGATGGACATTTAGATTTGTTTCTACTTGTGGGCTATTAGGAAGATTCATGTACAAGTTTTTGAGTGAAGATGTATTTTTTAAAGGTTTTATTTTTTAAGAGCACTTTTTGACAGGACGTTACAGAGATCTCTTTTATACTCCCTGCCTCCACACATGCATATCATCATCACTCACCATAATGGTACGTTTTGAAAAAGATTTATTTATTTATTTTAGAGAGAGAGTGGGGGGCAGAGGGAGAAGAGAGAGAGAATCTCCAGCAGACTCCCCACTGAGTGCAGAGCCCGACATGAGGCTTGATCCCACAACCCTGAGATCATGACCTGAGCTCAAACCAAGAGTTGGATGCTCAACCGACTGAGCCACCCAGGCTCCCCCATAATGGTACATTTTTACCAAGGATGAACCTACACTGACACATCATAATCACCCAAAATCTATAGGTTACTTTAGGGTTCACTCTTGGTATTGTACATTCTATGGGTTTGGACAAAAGTATGATGACCTATATCCATTAATTATAATATCATAGAATATTTTTACTGCCCTAAAAATCATCTATGTTCTGCCTATTCATCTCTGCCACACCCCAACCCTGATAATCTTTTTATTGTCTCCATTGTTTTGGACTTTTTGAGAATGTCATACAGTTGGAATCATACAGTTTGTAGCCTTTTCAGGTTGGCTTCCTTCACTTGGTAATACGCATTTAAGGTTCCTTCATGTCTTTTCATGGCTTGATAGCTCACTTCTTTTTAGCCCTAAGTAATATTCCAATGTCTGGATATACCACAGTTTATCCATTCACCTACTGAAGGACATCTTAATTACTTCCAAGTTTTGACAATTTGATTCCAATTTCTCCATAACCTTGTCAACATCTGTTATTTTCCATTTTTAAAAATTATAGCCATCCTAGAGGCACTTCGCTGGCTCAGTCAGTGAAGCGTGTGACTCTTGATCTTGGGGTTATGAGTTTGAGCCCCATGTTGGATGTAGAGATTACTTAAAAATAAAATCTTTTAAAAAATTATAGCCATCCTAATGGATGTGAAGTGGTATCTCATTATGATTTTGATTTCATTACCCTAATGACTAATGATGTTGAGTATCTTCTCACATAGGTATCGGCCATTTGTATATCTTCTCTGGAGAAATGTTTTTTCAAATTGTTAGCCTATTTTTAATTGAGGTTATTTGTCTTTTTATTGTTCAGTTGTAACAGTTCTTTACGTACTCTAGGTACTGTACACTTACCAAATAGGTGATTTGCAAATATTTTCTCCCATTTTTAGGTTGTCTTTTTACTTTTTTTTTTTATTGTAAGGGAAATGTATAGCAAAACATCTGGAAGGTAGTGGGGGTGGAAGATCTGGAAAAACTTAATCACCAAACAAGCTGCCTAAACATGGCTTCCTGGGGTGGAGGAGAGATTTGGCCCTTATCTTTCCCACATTTCCTGATTCAAAGAAACCTGCTTTTAGCAGGGCTGGGCCTAGGGATTTTCCAAACTGTTCTCTTCTTGGGAATTTGGGAAAGGTTATACAGTTCTCAGGCTTTCAAGATACAAAAGACAGTATGGAGAAGGAAAGGATGTTACAGCCCTTTGGTCTGGTGTCATCCCCAGCCCCATCTCTCAGTATTTGCTGATGCCAATGATATGAACCCCATGGAATTGGGGCAAATTAGGCAGCAGTACATTGAGCAATGAGGCTGTGTTGATGAGGAAATGAGCAACATCACACTTGCTGTAGAAGCTGACCAGGATGTAGGAGAGATGCTGAGGAATTTGTGGGAAGAGGTAAATTGGAGCCTGTAGTCCATCTGTTCCCAGCATGTCAGTAGCTGAGCCTTTCCTTGGTCAGGGGTCTCAAAGGGTGACCCTTTCACTATATGTAAGAAGACACAGATAGCCTGCTGGTTTCAGAAGCCCGTCTGACTTAAGGCATGGCACTTGTTTCTACACCTGTGGTCTCCAGGAAGCAGCTACCTTTTTACTTTTTAGATAGTGTCCTTTGATGTACAAATTTTTTGATGAAGTCCAGTTCATCTTTATTGTTTCTTTTGGTTGTTTGTGGTTTAAAGGTCATCTCTATGAAACCATTGTTTACTCCAAGGTCAGATTTATACCTACGTTGTCTTCTAAAAGGTTTTAGAGGGGCGCCTAGGTGGCTCAGTCGTTAAGCGTCTGCCTTCAGCTCAGGTCATTGATCCCAGCGTCCTGGGATCGAGCCCCGCATCGGGCTCCCTGCTCGGCGGGAAGCCTGCTTCTCCCTCTCCCACTCCCCCTGCTTGTGTTCCCTTTCTCGCTGTGTCTCTGTCAAATAAATAAAATCTTTAAAAAAATAAAAGGTTTTAGAGTTTTAGTTCTTACCTTTAGGTACTCTGGGGCTAATTTTTGTATATGGTGTGAGATAGGGATCCAAATTCATTTTTTTCCATTTCTGCCTATTCACCTTTGATCTTATTCTGATGTTTCACTCTTTCCTGAATTCTTGCATTTTTGCTTTGTGACCTTCCATCTTAGAGGCAATTAATTTTTTCCCATTCATGACAAAATACTTAGTTATAAGTTTTATCTAATCCATTGTAGCAGTTCTCCTGAATGCTCTTCATATATTCATTTTTTTAGCATCTCTCGTTCTCATTTTATTTCTGTTCACATTCATCTAGATTATTTGTTTAGATAGTGCCTCATAAATGTTTGCCTGTTTACTCCTTCCGTTACCTACTGCTAGTGTTAAATTTTTGATCTTCATTAAAAGAAATATTTATAGGAGCTTTCTAGATCGCTTCCCTGCTGCTGTGCTTACCATTTTTTAAAAAATTTTATTATGTTATGTTAGTCACTATACATCATTGGTTTTTGATGTGGTGATCCACAATCCATTGTTTTTGTTTAACACCCAGTGCTCCATGCAGTACGTGCCCTCCTTAATACCCATTACCAGGCTAACTAATACCCCCCCAAAACCCTGTTTGTCTCTCAGAGTCCATAGTCTTTCATGGCTCATCTCTCCCTCCAATTCCCCGCCCCTCATTTTTCCCTTCCTTCTCCTAAATGTCCTCCATGCTATTCCTTATGTTCCACAAATGAGTGAAACCATATGATATTTGACTTTCTCTGCTTGACTTATTTCACTTAGCATAATTTCCTCCAGTCGTATCCATGTTGATGTAAAAGTTGGGTATTCATCCTTTCTGATGGCTGAGTAATATTCCATTGTATATATGGACGACATCTTCTTTATGCATTCATCTGTTGAAGGGCATCTCGGCTCTTTCCACAGTTTGGCTATTGCGGACATTGCTGCTATGAGCATTGGGGTGCATATGGCCCTTCTTTTCACTACATCTGTGTCTTTGGGGTAAATACCCAGAAGTGCAATTGCTGGGTCATAGGGTAGCTCTATTTTTAAATTTTTGAGGAACCTCCACACTGTTTTCCAAAGTGGCTGTACCAACTTGCATTCCCACCAACAGCGGAAGAGGGTTCCCCTTTCTCCACGACCTCTCCAACATTTGTTTCTTTCCCTGTCCATTTTTGCCATTCTAACTGGTGTAAGGTGGTATCTCAATGTGGTTTTGATTTGAATTTCCCTGATGGCTTAATGATGATGAACATTTTTTCATGTGTCTGTTAGCCATTTGTATGTCTTCTTCAGAGAAGTGTCTTTTTATATCTTCTGCCCACTTTTTGACTTGATTATTTGTTTTTTGGGTGTTGAGTTTGAGAAGTTCTTTATAGATCTTGGATACCAGCCCTTTATCTGTAGTGTCATTTGCAAATATCTTCTCCCATTCTATGGGTTGCCTCTTTGTTTTGTTGACTGTTTCCTTTGCTGTGCAGAAGCTTTTTTTTTTTTTTTTGCACATCATTGTCTGAGTTAGAACATTAGCAGCTCTGCTTCCTCTACTTTTGCCTCCCAGTTTCTTCCAGTTGTAGTTACAAGTAGGAGTATAGATTCTCACCTGGTGGTGGGTCTCTCACCTTTAGGAAATTTTATTTTCTTGGTGTTTTTTTAGATGTGCCTCTGTTTGTCCCTCTTTCTGCTCATAATTCTCTCCATAGTTTCTTATTTCCAATTCTTTTGTCATAATTGCCACTGATTTCGCTGCTTTTCTCAGCCGTTACATGTAATTTGTTATCTATAGATTATACTTATCTCCTGGTTCTACTGAAGTTGTGTTTGCAAAGATCTATTGGTTCTCCTTATTGCTTTTAGGTGATTTTCAGAACAGAAGGCCTTGGAAATAATGATACTTTAATGTTTCTATGTTTTTACATTTTAGATTTGTCCTTATTAACAGCGTGCAACTATATTTTATTCATTTAAAAGATCTAACTGAAAATTTGTCTTCTAAGGGGTTTAGTCTGTATTTGTTACTATCATGACATATTTAGACTTCTCTCATTCTATTTCTATTTATCATACCTCTTTTTTTCTTGTTATGTTTCATCATAGAAGGAAATACATATTGTATTTCCTTTATTCTTATGTATACATATGTATGTATATGTATTTCCTTTATTCTTATCCCTTCAACTGGTTAAATCATACATTCTGTTTGTTTCTTTCTTTTTGGTATTTTCCTTAGTATTTTTTTCAATTTTAAAATCTAATTGGCTTTATTAAGCAAGTCATGAATTGAGCAGCATTCCTTCTAGTAAGTAGAGGGAAGATTTCTTCCTTAGCATTTTTTTTCTAAGTAAGCTCTACAACCAATGTGGGGCGTGAACTCACAACCTTGAGATGAAGGGCTGCATGCTCTACTGACTGAGCCTGCCAGGTACCCCTATTCCTTAGCCTCTTTTTTTTTTTTTTTGAGAGAGAGAGAGGGAGAGAGTGCAAGTGGGAAGGGACAGAGGGAGAAGGAGAGAAAGAATCTCAAGAAGGTTCCATGCTCAGTGTGGAGCCCAGGGCCTGACACGGACCTTGATCTCATGACCCTAACATGACCTGAGCCAAAATCAAGAGTCCAACACTTAACCTACTGAGCCACCCAGGTGCCCCTAGGATTTTTTTTAAGAGACTGTGCATGCACACAAGCAAGTGGGAGAGGGGCAAAGAGAGAGGGAGTGAATCCCAAGCAGGCTCCACACCCAGTGCAGAGCCTGAGGTGGGGCTCGATCTCATGGCTCTGAGATCATGACCTGAGCCAAAATGAAGTCAGGCACTTAACTGACTGAGCCATCCAAGTGACCCAAACCCTAGAATTTTTAATATACACATATAACAGGATATTAAATGTGACTATTCAGTATGCTGGGAATTTCATTAGAGAACAACAAATGTCAGAAAAACTATGCAGAGCATGCTAAGAGTGTGGAAGAGATTTTTGTGACCCTTAGCTCATTGTCCTCTCACGTCTAGCTTTTATATGATGATTTCTTTAGAGAGAATTGTTGGTATGCTCTGTGGTGTATCTCCTTCCCTCTTGCTTCTCTTCCTTCTCTCTCTCCCCCCACCCCAATAAATAAAAAATCTTAAAAAAAAGAAGTTCCCTTTTACCCCTTCTCAGGAATCTCCCAATCTCTCAGCCCCAGGTAATGACTGATTTGCTCTGTCCCTATGGGTTAGATGACTCTTTTCTAGAATTTCATAAAATTGGAATCATATAGTATGAGCTCTTTAGTGTCTGGCTTCTCCTCACTATAATGTTTTTGAGATTCATCCATGTTTTTGCAAGTGTCAGTAGTTCACTGTCACTCGATCTTTCTGAAATAAGAGAGTTTCTCCTGTTTCTAATACTCTCTCTTTTCCTGTTGCTTTTTCCTCTCTCAATTCCCTTGATTTCCAGTCTAACATCAGATGTTGTGATTAAGTCATTTTTGCCTTCCACAGGTTCTGTAATCCATGATGTCTATAAAGAACTGGAACATTACAAAGATGTCACCTTCACCGAGACTTATTCCTCAGTGGAAGGACTTGAAATTCCTCATAAATAATACCCTGAAGGATATAAAGGTGATGTGTATGAGAGATATGCACATAGTGGGCTTGTACTAAATACCCCTGCCAAGGCAGCCTGTGGCATGGGTAACATGTGAGCATGTTCTTTGGAAGAGCCCTCCCATACCCCTAAACAACTCCTCCTTCTAGATTCAGATGATAACAATTATAATTAAAAGACATTCTGCTGCAAAAAACCCAAAAAACAAAACAAAACAAAAACAAAACAGAAAATGGACTCAGATGGATTAAACAAGCAGGAGGTGCCTTTGTCTTACATATTGTCAAGGACCCATGTTCTTTTTCTTTCTTTTCACACCATCCTTAATATTTTAGTTTATCATCTTAAGGTTACAAGATAGTTCCTGCACTTCCAGGTACCAGCTTTAAATTGCAAGTAGGTAGAAGCGAGGAAAAGGCCAGAAAGTACAGAGCTGTGCCAGCCCTGGAGTACCACAGTGCCACTCTATATTGCCAGAATCTCTGAGTCCATGATCACCCTAAACAAGATCTGAGTTTTGTTGGGATGGAAGGAGGGGGATGGGGAAGGAGGGGGATTGATATAGAGTAGATGATAGTACTTCCAGGTGCAGATACATTGCTTGGGTTTAAGATAGTCTTAGTCTTTTAGAGTCTTCCTGAGAAAAGCACTGATACTGTTGAGTGAATGAGCAAACTGTGTGTGCATAAAATCTGGAAAGGAGAAGAGGAATGGTGATTAATGGAATAAAGGGTATGTAAATGACTTTTCAGATTCAATGAAGAGGAATGGGAGATTAAGAGCTCAGATACCAGTGTCCTTTCTCTCAACTCTGCTGCCCATCACTGAACCAGCAATGACAGTGGAAGTTCTCTGTATTCTGTATTCTCTCAGTATACACAAAGATCTGAATATGAGAAATAGAAAGAGAAGAGAGATTGTAACTTGCAGATAATGGCCTCAGTATAGTCTCAAATCCTTTGTGGATGCAGAGAAACTCGGAGAGTTAGAGTCATGGAGCATTGTTCAAGAGGCAGTGAAGCACAAGCATCTGCTGAGATGAGGGACCTCAAAAGTAGATTTTACGAGCCTCAGTTATGGCTAATTAGTATGAGGAAGTTCATGTATTTACATCCTAGATATATACTATGTCACAAGAAGATAGTGTGTGTTGTACATATTCTACTGTGTATCATGTTAAAAGGCATATATCTCCCTTAATACAACACACACACACACACACACACACACACACACACACACACACACTGGGTCAGAACACAGAATGTTAGAGCTGAAGCACAGTTAACTCTATGTTGTGAATAGCACACATTTTCCTTGGATGCACATAAGAATAGCGAAAGGTGCCTGCCAAAGGGTCTAGTTCTCATGCCCACATGGTGGGCATTCTATGTCTGTGAAGTATGAGTTTCCCACAGGCAGTGATAGGCAGTGTATCATGAAGTGTGATGGTGACAGGATTGGTCCTTTGTGTATAGGCAGGAACTCTGAAGAGTTGTTCCAACTGTGACAGCTGGGAGATATTTGCCAAGGTTGGATTCCTTTGTCATACTCATATAGGATTGTATTCCTTTCTTTTGAAGTACTTATTTATTTTGTACAGACAGACATTTGTTAGTTGTTTATATAATGCCTGTTTCCCCACTGGACTCTTATCTTCTGGAAACTAAGGCCATGTCTCTTTTACTCAGCATCATATCCCTATGTCCTCATAGAACATATCAGCCTTTCTCAAATTTTCCTCATCTAAACCATGGAAAACAAAATTATTTGAGGGGATATTTTCTTAGTTCTCTTAAGGATGGTACATAACTAGGAGCATTCTAGATGCATAGGGGAGAAATTAATGCCTTATGTAAAATGGACACTTTAGGATATTAGGGCTTACTTCTTATGGAAACTTGGTTGAGAAAGGCTGGGAGGTACTCTGAATTAAGATGTGGGTGAAGGTGAGGAAGAGATGACTCCCCCAAATAGTACTTGCCAGTAGTAGGGTGAATAAATGTTGGTTAGCTAAAAAACAACAGATGTCCACTAATCCTCAATAAATATTTACCAAATGAATGAGTGGGTACTCAGGCCTTTTAGCTCAGGCCACTCTTCTCTCTCAGGCTGATGAAAAACCAAAGAATGATGTGATTGTATTGAGTGACTGGCCTAAGACTCTATACCAGGAGCCTCACCATCCCCAGAGCAAGCCTTTCATCTGTTTCTATGCCATCGATGTCAACTATTTTGTGTCCTTAAACTGGGTGGAACCACATTCAAAACAAATACAGGTAAAGCTACCTCATTTTTTTTTCCTATCATACCTCAACTGCCCTCAATATCAGGATGAGATTGATTCTGAGTTAGCTCATTTTAATATGCATCTCCATAACCCAGTCTGACCTGGATGCAGTGATCTTTTTTCACCTCTAGTCATCAGGTCCAGAGAATTCATATTCCCCAGAAAGCAGACTGAAGGCCAAAGAAAGAGCCTTAATCATTGTGTTTCTATTACATACCTGAATCCCAGTACCAGGAAACTCCCCAAATCAAGCTGTTCAGTCTTTCCTTAGTCTTACAGGAGGGAACAGGTATCTAAACATTCAACCCTTCCTACCCCTCACTCTTGGGGGAGAATCTGCCTCCATGGTCAGGTTTTCATTTCGCATCCTCTTCTAGGCAGTACTTTGGGTACAGAAGAAAGATACAGAAATAGGAGGAATGATAGAGAAGACAAAGTTTCCTGTGATGGATCAAGTGCCACCCATTGAAGCAATGGTCCACACAGGTTCCTACCACATGTTAATTGCTTACTGTGGTGACATGCGCCTGCGGCTCTTCGGAGATCACCATCAAGCATTCATATCTCTGGGCACAGTGCCCTGTTGTTTCTCCATCAGCTGCCTCTGCTATGACTCAGAAGCTGAGATACTGCTCTCTGGTACCTTGGGGGCTGTGGTTACCTGGCTTATCTTACCAAACGGCAGGGGCCTCCAGATGGCACAAACAGTGCTCATGTCTGATCATGAGTTTGTACAGGGCTTTTCCCTGAACGGCCCCCAGGGCTCCCTCCTGGCTCTCTGTGAGAATAAGGTGAGGGTCTTCACCCACCAGGGTCAGGGCCAGCTGAAAGAGGTAAAAAAGTTCACTCCCACAGCCAATGGCTCTTCTATCACCTGCTCCTTCACTTGTGTCTCTCAGGGCTATTTCTATGCTGGAAACGAGGATGGAGAGATCCATGCTTGGAGTCTAGACCAGGGTAACTTCCTCCACAGCTTCCAAGCCCATTCCTTATCAGTGATATGTGTTTACAGCCGGCCAGAGACCTACACCTTACTAACAGCAGGCCGAGAAGGCGTTATAAGGGAATGGAATCTTGCCTTTGGGAACTTACTGCGGCAGCTGGATATTGATGAGGATTTGCAGCAACTGCAGTTTATTGATAACACCACTTTTTTCTGCCAGACTACCCACACTTTCTCATTGCACCACCTACCATATTTTTATAGCCTCTTCAATGTCTGTGGTTCTGCTCCTGAGCAGGTGCAGCGGGTCTGCTGTGGCCGTAATTGGACTCGAATCCTGTGTGCTACTAAGGATGGTTTATTGCGCTTCTTGTCTCCAGTAACAGGAGATCTCCTGGTTATCACCTGGCCTCTACTTGTCATGGATAAGGCCGTGGCTTGGGCCTATGACTCAGACAAAGAAGAGCTCTTTGTGGCAACAGGCAGTTCAGAGGTGCTGGTGTTTGATGCAACGCGCTCTCCTTGCACGGCCAAGTATCTGGTATGCACTTCAGTAAACTCTAGGGATAGAGTAAGGTGCCTGGCCTATGGGCAGTCCCATTTGGGCATGGGCCTAATAGGATTGATGTTCTGTGGGCATGAGAGTGGCGTTGTGAGAGTCCTCTCCCACTACAGCTGTGCTCGAATAGAAAAGACTGTTCACTCTGGGGCAGTTTTGGCACTGTCTACCCTAGAAGGTCCTCAGGAAATCTCCTTACTCTGTTCCTATGGCATGGATAATACTATACACCTGACAGAAGCTGTGCTTCAGAAAAACAAGGTAATCCTGCAGCCCGTAAGCAAAATTCTCTGTGCTTGCCCCCTAACACACGTGATCCTCTTGCCAGGTTCTGTGGGTGCCATCACTGAGAACCACTGCTGGCATCTCTGGCACTACCAAGATTTTCTGAAATCTTCAGAATCAAAACAAAGGTCTGTTAGAGACAAAGAGACAAAATGCCTGCACCAGTGTCACATCACTTCATTTGATGTCTGCTCTTCCCTGAAACTTTTTGTCACAGGGGGCACTGATGGCTCAGTCCGGATCTGGGATTTCCATGGTAGACTCATAACTGAGTTGGACTCAGCATTGCATTTTGGCCCACTCTGCTTTGCCAATAATCGGGGTGACCTGCTTTTGACTTTCAACCAGAGTCTTTACCTGGTATCCTGCTTAAAATTGCTCCCTCCTGCTCAGCTGATTCACCTAGCCATCCTAAGCAGTGCAGATGATATACAAGAAGTCCCTAAACCCTTCCTGCCTAGCTTCTTCTTTTCTTTTGAAAGAGTATTTGTACCCAAATTTGTCTACCTTGGACAAGGGCTGCAGGAATTACAGGGACTAGAGGCCCTTGTTAACAAACGGGTCATTGCCTTTGACAATACTGTGCCCCATGTTGTAGAGGAAGAGAGTCATATGTCCACTCTGATTCAAGAGGAACCCAAATCACACTTTTGGGAGGATAAGGATATTGCTTTTGACCCCAAGCATAATCGTCCCCAACACTTGGCTCCTGCTCAGTTACATCTTGCTGGCTGGGATGGATTGAACCCCTACCATATATTATGTTGCTTCTTTGGTAAAGGGCGGCAATGGCCCTTTGCTCCTGATGGCTACATCCCCAACTCAGTTATCCGTGCCCGCCTTTGGCCTGATGGTACCCCAATCTTCTTACGCTATGATCTGTACCAAGATAAAGACTGGGACATGACCAAACTCGTCAGATGCCAGACACTGTCACCTATGCCTCTACTAGAAGAGAACATCTCAATGAGAAGAGAGAGGGATAAATCCAAGAAGTGGAAACGAACTTTCTATGATGTTCTAGTAAGCATAATGAACCGAAATTGGACAGGAAGAAAATTTGATGAAGGAATTATAAATAATTTAATCGAGGCCATCCTCAACCTCACAATTTACTGCTCTATAGACCAATACAAGACATACATTAGTGTCCTGGCACAAATTTTTGCCACTTATCAAGTATCTCCAAGATTGTGCTCTGAGGCTGCCTGTCGCCTGATGGAAGATACAGTTCATCCCAATGCACACATCCGTGAGCTAGCCTGGGAGGGGTTGGAGAGGCTAGGTGTCCTGAGCCATCTCTTTGCTGTTCCACTGGCTATGGGATTGATGGACAGTGATGAAAATGTGAGGGCTAAGGCCTTATACCTTATGATAACAGTCACAGGCATCCAAACTAAGACTATGCTGGCAGGCCTGCTGAAGAAACGAGACACGTTCCAAGAAATGCAGTAAGTTGGGTAGTGGCTTTCCCCCTTCTGTTTCTTCTAGTTCCTAACCTTTTTCTCTTATTCTCTTTTTATACAATGTATTCCCTTTTTACACAACTCTCTTTCTATTCTCCCCCCCCCCCACGACACCCCCCCTATGTTCTTTTTTTTCTATTTGCTTTTTTCCTCCGGTGCCTACCCCTCTTCTTCTAACCATTGATTAGCCTGCCCTTCTGTCACTTCTTCACTTCCTTAAGATTCCTCAAGACTCAAGTCCACAAATCTTCCAACCAAAAAAGCATCTTGTATCTGGCAATTCTATTTCTTGCTATATTTGATTATTTCTTCTTTACCCATCCTTTACTTCAGACTACTTTGTCCTCATGGCTACTTTATCCCTGTCTCTTCAATTGTAATTTCTCCTCCTCCTCCTCCTCCTCCTCCTCCCTGTCTCTCTCCTTTCCTTCACTCCTCCTCCTCCTCCTTCTTCAAATCTTGTTTTATCACTGGCTTGGTGTCATCCTTCTTTCCCCTTGACTTTTGTAGGAGGGAATTTATTGGAGAAACCTCTCTGGACCAGCTGCTGGGGATCCAAGCTAAAGATATCCAGTGCCTGCTTACTCAGGTGGAGCAGCAGCTAAATGAAAACCTGACTTTGTCATATAGAGACCAACAACCTACTTTTTATTTAGACATATCAATGGCTGGTAAACCTGAGACCCTTGTCAAACAAATGGTCATACCTGAAGAGATCACCAAACCAAAGAAAAGAAAGACATATGTTCAAGCAAAAAGAAGAGAGCTTAGTATGTATGGGGTAATATATGGGGTATATTTGGGTCCCACCTCAGGGCACCAAAAGACAGGGTCAGTAAGGCCAGGGTATCTAAAATGATACCAGTGGGAACATAATTACATAAAGAGATTCTTTTCCACAGAAAATAACCTTCCTGGGAAAGAAACACATATACCACAACAAAGACCAATGTCTTATTTCTTTAGGATATGAAAGCTGGGATAAAATGGCAAGCATTTCTGTACCATAAAGCCTCAGTCCCCTTTGCCTTTGTACCTCTTTTTTTTTTTTTTTTAGTATATGTGCTGCTGAAGTGAGCACTGCCTTTGTACATCTTATGGCTATTCATTGGACTAGATATTACAAAGGATATTCACTCAGAACTTCTGTTTTTTCTTAACTATTTTTCTCCCAATATCTCTGCAGTTAAAAAGGCCCTGACAGTTTCCAGAAAGCCAAGACAGACAGAGTTTGTAAAATTTAGCTCTATGTTGGTGCCTTCAAAGGATGAAGATGAACAAAGAGAGGCCAGGCAATCAGAGCAGATTGACACCAGGGATGTTACCTTAGAGCCTAAACTGCAATTAAGTACTTTCAGCCCAGCCAAATCTCAAGAGGATGCTGAATCAGAGGAGGTTGTGATGGAAGCCACAGAAGGAAGAGGCCACATGGAGGTGACAGAGGTTATGAAGGCCATAGATCAACGTGGTACGAAAGATTATGGAGAGGTGTTCCCTGAGGTAGAAATACACGAAGTAGAAGGAGGAGGCCACATGGAGGTGACAGAGGTTATGAAGGCCATAGATCAACATGGCATGAAAGATTATGGAGAGGTGTTCCCTGAGGTGGAAATACATGAAGTAGAAGGAGGAGGCCACATGGAGGTGACAGAGGTTATGAAGGCCATAGATCAACGTGGCATGAAAGATTATGGAGAGGTGTTCCCTCAGGTGGAAAGACAAGAACTCATGAGTAGGCGTTGGAAAAGGGCACTGGAAAAAAGCCGTGAAAAAGTAGCTGCAAAGTTGAAACAGGAAAATGACTTGAAGGATATTTCAAAGACAATTGCAGAAGAGCCCAAGAAAAAAGTCACGCAGATTACTGAGCAAGAAAAATATACAAGGAAGAAACATGGGAAGAGTGACCGAGGTTTGGCTGGTATGCCTGGACGCGTGGGTAGATCAGATACCAGGTCTTGGCGGGATGACATTTGCTATCTTGTTACCTCGCGGATAGCAAATTCGCATCCAGGAACGTTAAGAGATCTGGGTCAAGAATTGGTGGACTTGGCTCAGGTGGTGCTTGGTCCCCAAGAGCCCAGCTGGGAACTCTTCCAAGAGATCTGCCCCCTTCTAAAGGACTCATCAGAATTGGATGAACAAGTGGTAGAAGAACCATCCATTATAATTGAAAAGGCGGATATAGAGGTTGTTGAGGAAGAAGGGACAGAACTGAGAGGACAAAGGGACAAAAAAGCATTAAAAAAGGACAAGGCATTTTCTCAAATGAAGAAAAAGAAAGTTGCTTTCTTAGATAAACTAGCCTTAGAGAAAAGGAAATTTAAAAAAGAAGCTAGGAAACTGGCCAAGCAAGAAGGGAAAACAGCTGAGGAAGAAAGGAAACTGAGTACACCAAAGAAGAAATTAATACAGGGAAAGGAGAAACTGACCCATCAGGAAGAAAAAATAGCTTGGGAAGAAAAAATAGTGGCTTCCCCACAAGAGAAATTAACCCAGGAAGAGCAGAAGTTAGTCTTAGGAGAAAAGAAAGAGACTAGAAAAGGGGGGAAACTGAGGGAAAGAAAAAGAGTGACCTGGAAGGAGGGGAGGGCAGGGGTAAGTGGGACTTGGAGAAGGGGTAAGTGGGACTTGGATAAGATTATAATGGCCCACGAAGAAGGCATGTGGCCCCAGGAAGAGGGGTTGCCTATCTGGGGAGAGAGAAAATTGTCCCAGGAAGAGGAAGAGCTGGATGAGGAAGAGGAGGAGCTGGGTGAGAAAGAGGAGCAGCTAGGTGAGGAAGAGGAGGAGCTGGGTGAGAAGGAGGAGGAGCTGGGTGAGGAAGAGGAGCTGGGTGAGGAAGAGGAGGAGCTGGGTGAGAAAGAGAAGCAGCTGGGTGAGGAAGAGGAGGAGCTGGGTGAGAAAGAGGAACCTTGTGAGGAAGAGGAGGAACTGGGTGAGGAAGAAGAGGAGCTGGGTGAGGAAGAGAAGGAGCTGGATGAGAAAGAGGAGCAGCTGAGAGTGGAAGAGGAGGAGCCAGTTGAGGAAGAGGAGCCAGGTGTGGAAGAGGAGAAACTGGCCTGGGATGCAGAGGAACTAATCCTGCACTTAAAGAAACAAGTTGAAGGCAGGAAGAAAAAGTCCCACAAAAAGAAGAAACACATCCAGGGTATAGAGAAACATGTTGAGGAAGAGATCCAGGAAAGGGGGAAATTGGCCCAGGAAGAGGAACATTTGTCTAGTGAAGAGGAAGGACTGTCTGTGGAAGAAGGAAAACAGGCATCAGAAAGGGGCAGCTTGGCAGAGCAAGAAATTAAATTGACTCCAGAAAAGAAGAAATGGTTAGGAAAGGAGAAAAAAGAGTCCTATAAAAAGAAACAAATCCAAGAAAAGAAAAAACAAATTGGGAAACAGGAGAAAGAACACCAGACTAAGAAAGAAGAGAAAGAATCCAAGGACAGATGGTTAGCCCGGAAAAGAAAGAAACTGGGCCTAGAAGAAGAGGAAAACCTTGTGGAAAAGGAGAGAAGGGCCCAGAAAGAGGAGGAAATAACCAAGAAAAAGAGGCAATGGGCCGGGGAAAAAAAGAAAGCTGACTTAGGAGAGGAGGAATGGGCTAGGGAAATGGAGAAGTGGTCACAGGAAGAAAAGAAACAGGCCTGGAAAGAAAAGATACAGGATCAGAAAGAGGAGAAATTGGCTCAAAAAGTGGAGAAACAGACTGAGGGAAAAAAAAAACGGGCCAGAGAAAAAATGAAACTGATCCCAGAAGAGGAAAAAAAGATAGAGGAAATTGAGACACTGTTCCCCCCAAAAGAGAAACAAGCTAAGAAAGAGGAGAAATGGGTTGGGAAAGATAAGAAATCCACTGATGAAAATGAAGAGCTCCACGAAAAAGAGCAACTAGCCCTAGAAGAGCAGAAACAGGCCCAGGAAGAGAGAAAATGGAGTCGGAAAGAGGAGAAAGAGAGCTTTCAAAGAAAACAATGGGCCTGGGAAAAAGAGAAGTTGTCTGTAGAAGACGAGGAACACGCTGATGAAATGCAGAAAACATCTCAAGAGAAACAGGAAAAAGCACTGACGAAAAGACTGACCCAGAAAGACAGTAAACTGGCCAAGGAAGACAGGCGTATTGACAAGAAAGACAAGGCAATAGCCAGGAAGGGAATTGGCATAACTAAGACAAAGAAAAAAACTGAGGAAGAGAAAGAAATTATGAAAGAAGAGGAATTGTCCCAGGAAGAGAGGGAACTGGCCTATGACATTAGGACCAAGGAGATGGGTGTTGCCAAGAAAAAAAGGAAACGAACCAAAGAGGAGAGAATACAGGCAGTGAGGAAACTGGATATGGAGAAAGGGATTCGTTCTGAAGAAAAAGAGGCTAGTTCCAGGTTAAAAGATATAAGGAAGAGAGAGAGTTACCTGTTGAGGATCCTACATAAAATAGTTGGAGAAAGGAGTATAGTACCACTGGAAGAAACAGAAATATCTGAGGAAGAGAGATCATGTATGATGGGGAAGAGTGGAATGGATGGCCAGAGGTGGGAATTTTTTAAGGAAGAGAGAGAAATAATGAAACAAGAGAAGGAGCTGGATCAGGAAGAGAGAAAAGTAGAAGATGACAGACTGGCCACCAAAGAGAAAACACTGACTGATGGAGAGAGCTTGGAGGAGAACCAAAGGTTATTAGAGAAGGTCCAGGGAAAGATACTATTAGATAAAGTCCAGGTAGAGAGTATATTAAAGGAAGTCCAGGAACAAAATCTGTTAGGAAAAAAGCAGCTAAAGAAACTTCTAAGGAAACTTGAGAATAAATCAGATAAAACTCAGCTAAAGTACTTATTAGAGAATATCAGAGATACCCTGTTTGAAGGCTTATCTGAGAGTTTGACTGAGGAGGAAATAAAGGAAGGTCCAACGATGAAGGGGAAAGAGGAGGAGGGCATCACTGAGGAAGGAGAAGAGGAAGAAATTTTGCCCAGGAGAGAGAAAGGGAAATATTTGATTAGGAAGAAGAAAAGGAAGGCAAGCCTGAGTGAAGAGGAATTGGAGGAGAACTTGGCTAGGAAGCATAAGAAAGAGAGTTCAACCCAAAGAAGGAAAAAGGAAAAGAGGTTGACTCAAGAGAAAGAGAGGCTGAGTAAGAAGAAAAAGGAGAGCCCACATGAGGAGGAGGAGAGCCTGACTGCGGAGGAGGAGGAGAGCCTGAGTGAGGGGGAGGAAGAGAGTGTAAATGAGGAGGAAGAGGAGAGCCTGAGAGAGGAGGAAGGGGAGGAAATGGAGAAGATAGAGAAAAGAGAGGAGGAGGAAAAGAAGGAAAGGCAGAAGGACAAGGAGAGCAGACTTATGGAGGTGATACGCTCAGAAGAGAGAGCACTGAAAACAGAGCTCTCCAAGAAAGAAGTGAGCTTATCGAAGCTAGCAATAGAAAATGAGGCTCTTGCTGAGAAAAGGGAAGGTACAATTAGAAGGGAAGTTCCTTTTAAGAAAGAAAGATGGCTTGATGGAAAGAGAGATCCCACACTCATGGATAAGGTCATGTGGCCAACAGTTCTGAAGAGCCCTTTCAAAATACCACTCCCAGTAGCCTTGGAAAAAGAGAGAACGCCCCTAGAAGTGTTGAGAGTTCATCTGGATTTGGAAGGACAGGAAAGTCAACTTCTTGGAGCACACCCTATGACAAGTTCTTGGGGAAGACAAGAGGATGTGCTCTTGGAGAAAGCCAGGGGTTTGAGAATAGGCTTAGAGACCCAGATCCCAGAAGGCCTCCACAGGCCAGAGTCCCACTTATCAGATATTATCATGAAATCACAGAAACCTGAACGTTGGCCCAAAGGTGACAGGTGGAAGTGGTTCATTAAGTACCAGGATTCCCCAGTGAGGAAAACTGAAGGCCAGGCTCCAGGGCCAGCCCCAGCCCCAGCCCTATCCCTTACTTCTATACCAGCTGAAAGGCCATGCTACTCAGAAGCAAGCTTCTCAGATGAGGACTGGGTTAACAATGCCTTAATAAGACTGGAAGCAGGGGAGCAGCTTTCCAGGGACAGTTTCCATAGACTGTACCAGCTCCTCAGAGACTTCACTTCAAAGGGATACATGAAATGGATGCATTTGTGCAATCTTAAAGCCATTGCTAAACACCTAAGGCAGAACCTCGAGGTAAGTCACACAGACATATCACAACATAAGAATGCTTTGAGTCCAGTGCACTTAAAAGTGATCCCTCCAATTAGAAGAAAAGAAAAAGAGAGCCGGCTAGAGCCATTCCCTGTCGTTGAACCAGTGTTACCATCAGCTACCATGAGGTCTCAAACCCCAGAAGCTCTCAATTGGCATCTCTTAGCTGAGTCCTACAGGAAGAAGCAGGCACGACAATTATCCTCTGCTGTTAAGGAGATACCGCACCTTTATCCAATCAGAAAGGATGTTCCCCCAACTGTCTATCCCTCTGTTGATAAAAAATCCCTGGACTTGATATTCCAGAAGGACTTCCAGGCCTTGAGGGATAAGGGAGAGCTCCCTAAATTTCACAAAGCAAAGAGGGACACACTGTCCATACCTTCACCAGTGTTACCATCAATCACCAAGAGGATTCGAGTCCCAAAGGCTATAAATTGGCATCTTTTAGGAGAAACTTACAGGAGTGCACGGGTACAGCAACTATCCAATGCTCTCAAAGAGATGGAAATGAAACATTTCTATCCTGCTGCAAGAGAGATTTTCACAGGTGCCCATGCCTCTGTGGACAAACAAACTCTAGCACTGATGTTTCAGAAGGATCTCAGGGCTTTTAAGGGAAAAGACAGGCCCCTCACATTGCCCAAGTTGAAGAAGGCACAGCCCATCTCTAAAAAAAAGGAAGAGGTGCCTCAATGGGAGACATTTGTGGCACTGTACCATGTTTTGCAGATGATGCAGCAACAATATGCAAAAGACAGCACTGCTTGGATGGAACAGTTTTACCAACTCATGGATCTGTACAAATTTAAGTCCCCCCAAATCCAGAGGCTTCTACTAAAGTTGCTGCAGAGAGAGGAACTCCAACCCCAAGAGATCATGTACAAAAAGGCCCTGAAAACTCAGGAGCTGGTACCTGGTGAACGGCTGTTCTGTGGCTTGTTTTGGGGTCATTCCCATGTCCCTGCAAGTCCTCTCAAGTTCCATAATATTGTACCTCTGCCTGGGAAGAGCAGGGTGCATACTATCCAACCTGTGGGCATCGCCCAGTATGGATTCCTAGAACTTGCCTGGAAAAACCTACCACAAGTCAATCCTTACTTTATTGAGAAGCCGCCCAACATCCCTACTCCTACTCTATGATTTGGCCTAACATTAGGACTTTGGGGTCTTGGTGGGAAATAAGCCTGGCAATGGATTTTAAGCCTCCTTCCCTTTTCCCCACTTCAAGGTGGGGCTAGACAAGGACTTGTACTCATTCAGTTCCAGAAACCTGCTACCTTATGCTGAATAAAATGACATTTCTCATTTGTAACAATATTTTGGCTTATTTCTCTTCCTCCCCAAGCCTAGAATCCCCATGAGAAAACAGATAACCTTTGTCCTAACAGGGCCAATTGTTTTTTCAGTCAGTGGGGTACATCCTTTGGATGGTAGGGGTCAGCATTTGATCAACTTTTTTTTTTTTTGACCAACTTTTGATAGAAAAGTCTGTCCATGAGCTCTTTTCTTTGGTTAGTATTTCCTTCCGCAAAGGTTCCTAGGGGGAGAATGGTACAGTGGGGCTTTTATTTATTTAGCATTAATCTGAGAGGAAGCAGAGAAGACCCATAATTTTGCCCCTTCACAAACGTTGATCTATCATTCCTGGATGTCTCTAAACCTCAGTGTTCTCATCTACATAATGCGGAAATAGAGTGAAATAATGATTAAGAATGCCAACTTTGAATTTGGAAGAACTCTCATTCCAGTTCTTTTTCTGCCATTTATCAGCCCTTTAATCTTAGCTTTTGGTTTCCTCAAAGTAAAATGCTGATAATGATGCCTACCTCAGTGAAACACTTAACATAATTCCTGGAATATAGTTCTCTTTTTCTAATGGGTAGCTATTTTAATGGGAGATGTAGCTATCTTAAGTGTGTAGATGAAAATAAGAGATCTAGGATTCAAATAGGATTTGAATCCCTGCCTTTTTTTAAAAAAAAGATTTTAAATGTATTTATTTCAGAGAGAGAGACAGAGATAGTAACAGAGATCAAGAGTGGGGAGGAGAGGGAGAAGCAGGCTCCCCACTGAGCAGGGAGCCCAACATGGGGCTCAATCCCAGGACCCTGGGATCATGACCTGAGCCGAAGGCAGATGCTTGACTGACTGAGCCACCCAAGCACCCTGAATCCCTGCTTTCAATATGACATGTAATCTTTTTTTTTTTTAAAGATTTTATTTATTTATTTGAGAGAGAAAGAGCACGAGAGGGAAGAGGGTCAGAAGGAGAAGCAGACTCCCTGCTGAGCAGGGAGCCCGATGCGGGACTCGATCCTGGGACTCCAGGATCATGACCTGAGCCGAAGGCAGTCGCTTAACCAACTGAGCCACCCAGGCGCCCTATGACATGTAATCTTGAGCCAGTGATTTCACTTCTCTAAGCCTCAGGGTTTTTTTTTTTTTTTTAATTTTTCAATTGTTTACTTTATTCTAATTCTCAGTTTTATCATGTGCAAATGAGGCTCACTGAGAGGCCCAAATGAGATTCTGAGTGTACTGGGAACACAGGAAAGGAACTGAAGGCTAGAGGAGGGGCCTGGGACCTCAAGGGAGTTTGAGGGTACCTTGGGAGAGGGAACAGAGCTCAAGAAGAGAGTCTGCAAGAGCAAGGGAGAAGCTAGAGCTTGAAGGAGGTGTTTGGAAGCCCAAGAGAAGATCTTGGGCATCAGAAATCAGACTCCTGAGGGAGGTGACAAATTCTGAGGAAAAAATTTTGGTAGCCCAGGAGATCAGAAGCTTGGGAATATGGAGAAGAAACCCTGGAGCAAGAGACAGATTTCAGGGGAGAGGTCTGAGAGCCAAAGGGAATAGATGGAGTTCACAATGTACAGAAGCTAGTAAGTTCTGGAAACAGATCCCATGCTCAGCAAGCATAAGAGAGAAGAGCAGAAGAAGCAGATTTTGTGGTTAGAGGAGCCAGGGAGCCTTGAAGGAGGAGCCAGAGCTTAGGGGAGATGCCTGGAAGCTTAAGAGAAAAGCCAGAGTGCAAGGCAGAAGGGTTTAGGAGAAAAGGGAAGAACCAAAACTTTGAGAAGCCTGCGAGCTTCCAGGGAAGGAGCAAGAACCCAGAGAAGCAGTCTGCAAGGTCAGAATAAGTTGAATAAGTCTAAAGATTTAAAACATACACCTATATGAGTTAATTCCCTCATGTAAAATAATAAGAAAAAAATATATACACACACACATACACATATAAAGTCTTTGCCTCTGGTTCCTGCTAATACTTGGTCTTGGACCCGTTTGTGACACAGAACTCCTAAATCCCTTGGAATCTCCTGGGAGATAGGTGTGTCTTTTGTTCTAATGTGGTGACTGTTGGTGGACTCCTAGAAAGGGCTGGTCACTAGAAAGACCAAGCCATGTATAAAAGCTTGGAACTTTCAGCCATGTCTCCCATCCTCTAAATAAGGGCTGGAGGTAGAGTTAATGATCACTCATGCCTACACGATGAAGCCTCCATTTAAAAAATCCCAAAAGTATGGGGTTTGGGGAGATTCCAGGTTGGTGAACACATTTACATGCCAGAGGGTGCTGCACCCCAACTTCATGGGACAGAAGCTCCTGCACTTAGGACCCTTCCACACCTCACCCTATGTATCTCTTTATCTGACTGTTCATATGAATGCTTTAAAATATCCTTTGTAATAAACCAGCAATAGTAAGTAATGTTTTCTTTTGTTGTGTGAGCTGCTGTAGCAAATTATTGAATCTGAGGAGGGGATTGTGGGAGCCTGCAAATTCTATCCAAGTCAGACAGTTCTGGGTAACCTGGGTACCAACTACCTCTGATTAGGGTCTGAAGTGGAGGGCAGTCTTGTGGGAGTGAGCCCTTAACCTGCGGTATCTGTGCTGGCTCTAGTTAGTGTCATAATTGAATTGAATTACAGGACACCAAGTTCATATTGGAGAATTGGTCTGTGTGGGGAAAAAAAACCCCACACATCCAATGTCAAACATGTTGTCCGTGTGAGTAAAGAAAAACATACTGAGTTTTTCCCAGACAAACCCCCCCCATAAAATATCTCCTCAAATATCCTATTTCCAGAAGAGGGAAAAACAAGATGAAAGGTATTAAATGTTTAGTTTAAAGAACTAGAAAGGGCCATATGGAAATACTTTACCTTATTAGCCTGGGTGGTTGTTACAGAGGTGTATACAATTGTCAAAACCTGGTGAGGAAACCGAGCTTGACTTATTTTTATCAACAGATAAAATTTTAAAAATTATTTTAAAATGTGGTAAATGATACATAACAAAATTTGCTATTTTGGCCATTTTTAAGTGTACAGTTTAGTGCACTAAGTACATTGACATTGTTGTGCAACCATCACCAGCATCTGTCCAGAGAACATTTTTCATCTTGCAAAACTAAAACTCTGTTCCCATTATATAGTAACTTCCCATTTTCTCTACCCCCAACTCCTGGCACCTACCATTCTACTTTCTGTCTCTATGAATCTAAGTACCTCATATGAGTGGAAACTTAAAAGTATTTGTCCTTTTGTGGCTTATTTCACTTAGCATAGTGTCTATGTCTTCAGGGTTCATTTATGTTGTATCATGTGTCAGAATGCACTTCCTTTTTAAGATGGAATAATATTCCATTATATGTATATACCACATTTTATCTATCCATTTATCTGTTGATGGGCACTTGGGTTGCTTCCACCTTTTGGCTTTTATGAGTAATGCTGCTATGAACATGGGTGTATAAATATCTCTTCAAAATCTTAACTTTTTTTTTTTTGGTATATGCTCAGAAGTGGAATTGCTGGCTCATATGGTACTTCTACTTTTATTTTTTTTAAAGGAATTGTCAATCGGTATAATTTTAAAAATACCATTAGGGTTCATTCTAGTGATCATTTTGACTTTATGCAGTAACCTAAATGTATTTCACAAACTTTGAAATAAAGTATAAGGCTCCTTATGTGTATTTTGTTTTTATTGTTTCATTGAGGTGTAATTAACATGCAATAAAAGGTACAGATATTAAACTTTCAGTTCACCAAGTTTTGACAATTGTATGCACCCCTGTAACCACCACCCAGGCTGAGGTAAAGTATTTCCATATGGCCCTTTCCAGTTCTTCTGTGTCCATTTCCAGTCATTTCTCCAACTCCCTCCTTCACGGTAACCACTCTTATTGCCTTTAGTTTTTCCTGTTCTTGCACTTCATATAAATGGATTCATAAAGTATGCAGACTCCTGTTTTGGGCTTATTTTGCTCCATATGTTTTTTGAGATGCATCTATATTGTGCATATCAGTAGTTTGTTCTTTAATTATTGTATGAACATACATGATTTGTTTATTCTCATGTTGATGCATATTTGAATTATCTCCAGAGGTATTATGAATGAGGCTGTTATGAACATTCTTTTTTTTTTTTTAAAGATTTTTATTTATTTATTGAGAGAGAGAGAGAAAATGGTAGAGAGAGAGCATGAGATGGAGGAAGGTCAGAGGGAGAAGCAGACTCCCCGCCGAGCAGGGAGCCTGATGCGGGACTCGATCCCGGGACCCCAGGATCATGACCTGAGCCGAAGGCAGTCGCTTAACCAACTGAGCCACCCAGGCACCCTGAACATTCTTGGACAATACTGTGGATATGTTTTCATTTTGCTTGGGTACACACTTCAGGATGGAATTTAGGTTGTTTTTTTTTTTTTAAGATTTTATTCATTTATTTGAGAGAGAGAGAGTGAGAGAGAGAGAGCACATGAGAGGGGGGAGGGTCAGAGGGAGAAGCAAACTCCCACTGAGCAGGGAGCTCAACGTGGGGCTCAATCCCAGGACTCTAGGATCATGACCTGAGCCGAAGGCAGCCACTTAACCGACTGAGCCACCCACGTACCCCAAGGAATTTAGGTTCTTAAGAATATTTTCCCAAAGGGCATCTGGGTGGTTCAGTTGATTAAGCATCAGACTCTTGATTTCGGCTCAGGTCATGATCTCAGGGTCTTGGGATCGAGCCCTGAGTCAGGTTCCACACTCAGTGTGGAGTCTGCTTCTCTCCCTCTCTCTCTGCCCCGCCTTGCTCTTTCTCTCAAATAAACAAATAAATCTTAAAAAAAAAAAGGAATATTTTCCCAAAGAGGTTGTATCACTTTATACTCCCACAGGCCATATATGAACATT